ACTACAGATTTTGAGAGCTGGCAACATGACAGCATGTCTTTAGAAGAGTCTTTTTCTGTTATTTCTGGGGTTGGAGTACTCTTGTTTGAGCAGCATGAGAATGGCTGCTAACACCTCCAAAACAGTCATTACTGATCATTTCAGCATCTTCCTGGCTATTCAGTTGATCATCCAGCAAGCTTTTAAAAAGGCTGTCAGATGTTCATACCTTCTCTGTTGCCAATGCCTAATAACTTCTGCAAAAGCATCTTGGGTACTTCACAGTTCTTTTATTAATGGTCTATTTTCAGTCTTGCAGGCTGAAGGTGCTTCATCTGTATGGTTTCTGCTTCAGTCATGGTCTGGAGTCCATTAAGAAATCAATAAAACCATGAAAGTCTTTCATAACCTTACTGTCCCAACTTTTAACATTTTAGTTGAATGAAAAATCCTGTGTATCCTGAGAGACATTTTTGGCTTTTAAATGTCTGTTTGCTTTGATGAAGGAGTTTTTTACCACTTTGTGTCTCATTTTTTGATAAATTCAAAGCATACAATTGTGGGGTTTTGAACTATTATTCAAATTAGTTTTTCCCTGGACTAAGTTTTTAAAGATATAGATTATGCCTTTTCCCCTTCAGAGTCTATAATGATGCAGTATATCTGAGAAGTACAGTCTACATGGTGGCTGTCACCAAACACTTTATCCATAGTTTTTAACTGGAGAGTAAGAGTGTGTTCAGTAGTACTGAAAAGTACAGAGCAAGGAATGAGAGCATGTAGCAATGGTCTCTAATCTGGCCAGATTTAGCATTTAAGTATGTGCACCTATCCTATATGCTTCACCTGAGGTGCATGACTGGATATAACTGGGCAAACAGCTGAAAATGCCACCAAAGTCATAAACAGTGCCAACGAAGGCACAGTAGGAGAAAGGCAGAGAAGGGAAACAGTGTTGGGGGGAAGACCCATTGCCACAAACCATCTGCTGGACACCTCCCAGAGACACTCCATTCTGCACGCCACCCTCTCACCATGCCTTCCACCTGCCTGGACACACTGTGCTTCCCTTCCTGATGGAAGGGAGAGGGCAAGGTTCATGAAGAAGTACAGGTACCAAAGGAAGAGATAGAGTGCCAAATTGGGATTGTGATGCTTTGAAATATATGGTGGCTTACAGAGGTGGTAAAGTTCGTATCAGTGGATAGAGGAATTGGAGTAGGTTTAATGAATTACTTTTCATGGTGCTGTGGCTGGTATGATACCTGTGTGCAATACCAACCGTTTTCAATGAATTGTTTCTGTGTTATTGGTTGATTCTACTTTGCTCTACTTTCCAAGTAAACTGCACAGTTTGTGCTAAATTGCTTAAACTGTCCACATGTAAAAGAGACAAGGGTGAACAAGAGAGTTATTGCAACCATAGAGGGATCCATTCACTCCCTTAACCATGCATAATACTGGGAAGATTAGTTAATATTTATAAGAAATATAGAAAAGAAAACTCTGTCTTCAGAGTAAGGTCCAAATAGTGCGCATTAAATTGTAAATATTGCCCAAGGCACTTAAAATAATGAGGAGAAACAAATTACTGAATAATTACGTTCTATTTCCTAACTTTTAAATGCTTGATATTCCAAGCAATGGTCTTCCTTTAGTATGTATGTAAGGTTCCTAAAACAATATATAGGGAGGGATGGGAAGAGGTCTGCTCTTTCAGGTATGGCATCTGGCTAGAGCACAGCACTCCAGCTTTTCTGGGCTTTTGCACAGTTCTGCAAATTAACTTTCAGGGACCACAGGTATTCAAATAGCATTTAAGAGTTCTGTAACTTATCCCACTGGCCAGGTCAGCTCCTCTGCTATTTTGCTTCCTGGGGCAATGATAGGTTTTGATGTCATGTGGTGTCACACCTCCCATTTCTGGTTTCCCTGCCCCTTCTAATCTACTCCATTTAATCTCTGTGTCTACAACAGTGTGAAACCCCACCTTTTCCCACTCAGTACAACAGGGCACTTCAGTAGTAATACAATCTCTTCTTGTTCATGTGCTATCTTAAGCCTCCTTGAGGTTCCTGAGCATGATTTCATGTTCTGTTCTGCCTATTCTGCCAAACAGAGGCTCTGGCTAGCTTGTCTGTTTTATGGCACAGCGAAGTGAAATAGATAGACTGAAAACTGCACATGGGGTGTTTCTCTGTCTGTAGCTTTGGCATCTTATTTATGAATTTAAAACTCCTTCTGTACTATATCCACATTGCCAGACCACATAAACAGTGCTTTGCTTTTGCATATTTATTTAATTCAGAACTGGATTTGAAGGGACAGATACCTCTAAGAAAAGGCATATAATTTCAGAACAAAGCAGCATTTTGCCATTACCTGCTGGGAATCCTGCCCTCACCGCTCACTCTTTGGTCTCATCAAATAAATAACCTTTTATTTGCTATCTCTGTGCTGTTGAGTTAGGACCATTTGACTAACCATGGCCTGCCAAGCAAGCACTGGTTGTGTGGCACTGTGTAACGCCACAGGCACTATCTGTTCTGCAGGATATACCTATGCCATGGCAGTGCTAAACAACACACTGTACTCCATGTCAGTACCTGAGATTTATGTGAAAAAACTTCTGTGGCAGTAGAAAAAAAGAAGATGCCAAAGCCCAAATTCTCTTTTATGACATCCACTGAATGCACACGGGATTACCTGCACATGAAGGCAGAAAACTGGCCCATGTAGGCTTTGTATTGGCAAATACTACAAGGCTTTTGTATGGCTTGATTCAAACTTGAATGTTAATGTGAAGATTTCAATTTGTTTTCAAGGTTGTTTATTATTTACTTGTATCACTTTGGTAGAAACATTAAGACTTCAAAGAAAACAAAGGTGCAGATTTCAAAGAGAAAAAAAAAAGATGCAGATCTTTGCAGGAGGGTCAAATCTCAAGTCATATTAAAACAGGTTTACATAGAAAAGTTTGAGAAAAGATGATGTTAAATGTCAAAGAAAAAAAAAAAAAGATAAAAAAAAAAAAAGATGGGGGGCTACATGTCCAAAGCCTATGCCCTCTACTTAGCAGTCCAAGGTAGTCACTACCACAAGACATGCAGAGAAAGAGTGGGTAAGAGAGCAGGCAGGGTAAGGATTGCTGACAAATGTCAACTCATAAACCTGCCGCCACAAAAGCAAACAAGAAAGTGAGCACGTCGATCTGAGTGGGAACTCCCTGTCCAGTGAGACGTATTCAGCCCCACATGAGGACGTTCCCATTCAGCTCAGGAGCTTGTCGACTCTGAAACCCCATGTCCCGACTCCTATGAGTAGAGAGCTGGTGTGTGTAAGCAAGATAAATTTGTCTCTCTTGGTGGCTGAACAACCCTTCATCAGCTTCATAAGGGCTTCCTGATACTCTTTGGGCACAAAAACTTGATGGGCAGATGAGAAATTATGCAACAGAAAGAACACTTGTTAAATTAACTCTTTTACTGAAACACTAGATTTTGCTAGACTGAGTCTGAAGGGACACTGCTTTGCTACTCTTAGTAATTTTACAGTTGTGCAACAGAAATGTGACAAAAATGTATAGAATCATAAATTGAAGTCCCTCATTTATCTGATATTTTTAAACTAAAGTTTATATTACAACTTCTTTAACAGCTGTATTTGTCCAGAGTGCAGGGAACATTCCACAAAATGTTGACTAAATGACTAGACATAAATTGCTGACACGATCTCAGATTCAGCCTGTCTGAGCCTGACAAAATAGTAATCAAAATCTGTATACTAATGCTAATACTAATAATAATTCCCTTTGAGGGCATTCCACTCTTAGGCAGCGGAGCACTTTATAGTTCCCATTGAAAGTACATGATTTCTTGCAATGTGAGGTCAGCTGGACTATTTCTGTTTTGCTGGATCACGTTCTTAGCCTTGGGCTGTGTTTGGGTCAGCAAGGAAACGCTGTTTCGATAGCTGGATTTGTGTTCTGTTTGGCTCCCTCACAACTCAATTTACATTTGCAGATAGCCATAAACAAGAATACGTGCAGGGAAATAAATATATATATATATAAAAAACCCTCCTCAGTGAAAGTTTAGTTGCTTCCAATGAAATCTGAGCCTTGAGTCTGACTTTCGGAAAATGAGAAGTGTTGACATCTGTCAAGAAAAGTGCTGGTTCATGTGTATTGGTATCAGTAAAAAACCTCCCCTTGATTTCCACGGGCATTCAACCAAGCTCAAGAACGACAGAGACCGCAGCTGTTCACTGTGCAATTTTCTCCTGACTTCAGCCCTGGTTTTAGCTCCCTACTTCCATCTGCTTTATTTCATACCTTCCATCTCACAACTTCCTTGTTTTTCTCTCTATAACCCACAATAGCATCAAAGCACATGTGCCAGAGTTTTGCTATACTGCGGCCAAAAGGCACAGCATTTTGAAGTACTGAACCCCAAAATGATCAAGATAAAAGAGCACTGAAAACCTGGCTCTTTTGGTGTATCGATTTGAATCTAGATTTTGGATTTTTATTCTGAGTCGGTATTTTAGCAAGGTGAGTTTCTCCGTTAGCGGTGAGGGGACAGCAGCGAGCGCGTAGGTGGCACCGCGTGACTCCACGACCACTCGTGGTCAGCAAGGATTTACCCAGTGAGACCCCGGGTCACCCCGGGCTCCGTGCCCTCCGGGAACATATTATTGGGCTGGAAAACACAAACGAGACTGGTGACCGCACGCTGCTGGGACTCACGTTTGACTGCTGCGGGGTGGTGGTGGGGGGGAGGTGTTTTTAAGGTGTAGTAGCTTTGGCAGGCGCGCCTCGGGAGCGCTCTGCCCTCGCACCT